GAAGGATCGACTATCAGGCAATCAGATCGAATAGTCACTTACCAGTATGAAAGATAGTAGAATTGGGAAGGAATACAAGATTCCAGATCTAAGCCTTGACGAGAGCGTTGCATTATATGTAACTAAAACAACTGGAGTTTCTGTTCAAGGTGGCAAATGGGGCTTTTCTTAGTTTATAAATACCTTTTTGTAATTTCGATAATAATCGTTAATCGTTTGAAATTGATTCCAAATAAAGTTAATCGCAAAACATTCAATAAACAAATAGCTATGAGAAATAACTGTACAACAATAAACGGATGACGTCAATACACAGTTTATTTTTCCAACATTTTTACTCAAGTCAGGACACCCGCTGCACCTACCTCCTGCCTGACGTGTGCCTTCTGTCGCTTGTAGTCCGCTTTTAGAGGGAAGCAGCAGGATGGATGACACATCCTTGGCAATGAGGGAGGTGTTAACCACAACATGCTGTTGTCGCTAACTGTGACACTATATGAGCAGTGTTCTTTTCTACTAGACCACATAGTGATTGATCATACTCCTTTTCGTTCTTCTTTCATTATTCAGCTTTGTTGCTGTCTACTCACCTGACGTTGTCGGCCCCGTACCGTCAAACGTGTCGGCTTCGTGTTTTTAAAAAGGAAAAAGAAAAACAAAGAGATCTGTATCTTCCTTTTATCTTTTGTGTGGGATCTATTATGTAAGCTGTTTTATTCGTTTCTTGTCTTGCTTTAATAAAAACATATACACATATCTGACTCGTCGATCACATACTTTCACTATTCACTACTTCATATATATTTATGTATTCTGGTTATGGTAAGTCACATTTATTCGTAGTTTCTGCGTTCCTCACTCCCCTGCTAGCAGAGAGGAGTGGCTTTCAGATATTTTCCTCCGAGAGTGAGCCTACAATATTCTGTGTTTTTGAGATTTTAAGACACGCAAATTGGCTCAGGTATGTTGTCGGAAAAGGTCTATGTTATAGGCAATATTAAAGTTTTAAGTTCGTCTAGGCAAAGCTAAAATTCTAATTTTGAACAATCTGAAACAATCTTTCCCTTAAGACGAGAAGTAAGAGGTAAAAATAAGTTATTTGTAAATAAAATGATTTCTCCACTCCACAATACTGTTTTAAGATTTTATAACCTTTAGGGTTCCAACTTATTAGACTGCCGAAGCGCAACTACTAACAGCAAATCCACACATTTTCCTTTTCTGATATTCATTCACTGCTTCTTAAGGGAGGGGTTCTCTCCCTTTTTATTTCGATAGGTAGTACAGTGCAATGGGTCACACCAGAATAAGCCCCTTTTATGGGATCACAAACGCAAAAAAGCGATCAAAACTGAGTTACAAAATTTTTTTCCCATGTATTTTGCTGAAAAATGAAAAAGTATTTTGAGGAAAACCTTGCCAAAAATGCTGCAAAAACAGTGCATGGTGGAAAAAAACTTTTGGTACAAAAAGTGTGAGCAATGGCCGACTGTGGAAGATAACTTTGTCCGATTTCCAAAACTTTTCTTCCATATGTTTCATACTTAAATTCTTTTGAAATTTAAAACTCAAAAACATTTAAATTTAATGTTTTTCAAAATTTTCCCATTAACTCTGAAAAACAGACAACGTTAGACACATTTGGTACCGACTTACGGGTGACTCCGGAAAATGCCCACCAATCGAGAAGCATAGCAGATAGAGAGGTTGGTAGCGAATTGTAGAGAGCACTTTGGGCTATCTAATCATCATGCTGAAATTAAAAATTTACCGCAGATTCAGAATCTAGCAACCTCATCGCTTTTCATCCGTCGGGTACACCGCCTGAAAAAACCAAGATTTTTAGTACCAAACATATGTGAAGATAAAGTAAAGCCTTCTCCACAAAATGTTGAAAACCCGAACTCTCTATTTGTTTTCGTTCTCGAGTCACTGAAAAAATATCCATGGCCGCTCTATTCAGAAATCCATAGTAGAAACCCCGTTTGTCTAAAGCTGAGTACAAATAACTGCTTATCGGTAACAGTTGAGAAGACAAATACACAGATTTGTAGTACTTGGAAATCTCTGTCGAATGATGTATTACGTTACCGTTCCCAATAAATCGCTAATTGACAAATAAAAGTGTAACACACCAGAATGAGATTAATAAGCACTTATAAGGATGATTAATTATAAATTATTGCCTCAAGAAAACTTTTTTCATCAGACCATAACAACAGACCATTGGCTATCAAAAGATACGAGAACGATATTTCTCAGATCTTTTTAACCGAGAGACAGGTTTTGCAAAATGGGAACTACGTAGCTATCCAAATACTAATTAAAATTTAAACTTACTTTCGTTAATCGAAAGAACTTAAGGATATATGTAGTCAGGTGTACTCTTTAAACTGACATAGTTCGAGAACATATAGGCGGAGGAATCCCCCTTAAGATCGTTTCACCAAACCAATAAGTAACTTTCAGACGTTCTGGAAGGAAAGACTTAAAATATTTTTCATTTTCTGCCGACGCCTGTTGCCTGAACTGAATTGAAAAAACTGAACTGAAAGCTATGACGCTTTTATAACTGGCGCACATTTTCTCAGTCACACACACCAAGAAAGATAATGACGGTGGCATCAACAGTATTTGCAACAGCTATATCAGTATCATTATCATTATTGAAATCACCCGTTGCCACAGAATATGCAGCATTTCCAGTGGTATATTGGACCTGACTTCGAAACGTTCCGTAGCCGTTACTGAGCAATATACTGACGGTTTTATCACCGGAATTTGCAACAGCTAAATCACTTCTGTGATCACCGTTGAAATCGGCTGTTTTCACAGAAATTGGAGATTTCCCAGTGTCATATGTGACTTGAGTTTGGAATATTCGGTCACCATTCCCGAGCAATATCCCGACGGTACCGTCACCAAAATTTGCAACAGCTAAATCAGTTCTGTGATCACCATTAAAATCACCAGTTGTCACGGAAAACGGAAAACGCCCAGTGCCATATGTGAGTTGACTTTGAAAAGTGCCGTCGGCGTTAGCGAGCAGTATACCGACGGTGCCGTCATCGAAATTTGCCACAGCTAAATCAGTTCTGTTATCAGCATTGAAATCACCCGTTGTGACAGAATATGGAGCATTCCCAGTGCCATATGTGAGTTGACTTTGAAAAGTACCGTTGCCGTTACCGAGTAGTATACCGACCGTGTTATCACCAGAATTTGCCACAGCTAAATCAACTCTGTCATCACCATTGAAATCAGCTGTTGTCATAGAAACTGGAGATTTCCCAGTCCCATATGTAAGCTGACTTTGAAAAGTACCGTTGCCGTTACCAAGCAGTATGGTGACGGTGTTATCACCAGAATTAGCAATAGCTAAATCAGTTCCGTTATCATCATTGAAATGACCCGTTGTCCCAGAAACTGGGGATTTTCCAGTGCCATACGTAGATTGACTTTGAAATATTCCGTTGCGGGTACTGATCAACATACTCACTGTGTTATCATCGTAATTTACAACAGCTAAATCAGGTCTGTGATCACCATTGAAATCACCAATTGTCAAAGAAACTGGATATTTCCCAGTGTTATATGTAATTTGACTTTCAAATATTGCGTTGCGGTTCCTCAGCAGTATACTGACGGTGTTGTCACCGGAATTCGTAACAGCCAAATCAGTTCTGTTATCAGCATTGAAATCACCTGTTGTGACAGAATATGGAGAATCCCCGGTGGTATATTGGACTTGACTTTGAAAAGTACCGTCGGCGTTACCGAGTAGTATACTAATGGTGTTACTGTCGTAATTTGAAACAGCTAAATCAGTTGTGCGATCACCATTGAAATCAGCTGTTGTCCCGGAAATTGGATATTTTCCAGTCTGGTATGTAATCTGTTCTTGAAATGTTCCGTCGCCATTGCCAAGCAGTATACCGACTGTGTTATCACCGGAATTTGCAACAGCTAAATCAGTTCTGTTATCACCATTGAAATCACCCGTTGTCACAAAATATGGTTGGTTCCCAGTGTTATATATGATTTGACTTTGAAAAGTGCCGTTAGCGTTACCGAGCAGTATACTGACTGTGTTATCATTGTTATTCACTACAGCTAAATCAGGTCTGTGATCACCATTGAAATCACCCGTTGTGACAGATGGTGGAGATTTGCCAGTGTTACATATGATTTGACTTTGAAATGTTCCGTTACCGTTACCAAGCAGAATGGTGACGGTGTTATCACCAGAATTTGCAACAGCTAAGTCAGTTCTGTTATCACCATTGAAATCCCCTGTTGTCATAAAATACGGTTGTTTCCCAGTGTTATATATGATTTGATGTTGAAATGTTGCGTTGGGGTTACCAAGCAGTATACTGACTGTGTTATCATCATAATTTGCAACAGCTAAATCAACTCTGTCATCACCATTGAAATCCCCGGTTGTGACTGATTGTGGAGATTTGCCAGTGTTGTATATGATTTGACTTTGAAATATTCCGTTGCCGTTACCGAGCAGTATACTGACTGTATTATCATCATAATTTGCAACAGCTAAATCAGTTCTGTGATCACCATTGAAATCACCTGTTGTCACAGAAGCTGGATATCTCAAAGTGGCATATCTCGCATGAGTTAGGAATCGTGGTGTACACGCTAAAGTGAGACAGAAAACGTTTGCTGGTTTAGTTTCAAGTTTACAGGAATAGAGTTTTGATGCGTTCGTTTCGGGTTTGAAACGTGCAGTACTATTATTTTTGTATCTGCGTAGGTACAGTCTGATTAATGGGTGTAGTGCCAGTATCAGCTTCTGATATTGTAACAACCCTGCTTCACCCTTTTCTGTAGCCTCAACAAGAAAAGCACAAGATTCTACGGTACAACACTTGTGTTACCTACTCCATGGTGGCGAACGTCTTGTGCCGACCACTGAACCGACAATGATGCCGGAAAGACAAAGAATGACCAACAGGCTAAGCTCACAAATTGTCCGTCGTTTCTTGTACCACGGTACGTTTTTCTTCTCTGGTGGATAAAGGTGAGCACCTAAAGATGAATAGATGAGATGTCCATCTATGTCTTGATATCTAAGACTACCTTCAAATGGAAGTTCGAGAAGTGTCTCGACCGGTTTTATTTGTTTTAAGTGGACGATGTGCAGATTGGGCGCCGGACTAAACTGCGACTGAACTTCCATGTAGGTGCCGGGCAAAAGAAGAATTTCATCTTCAGTAGCGTAATGCGAATGAGCACGTACAGTTCGACCGTTGATGGCTTCGACGGAGAAGAGCGTCCGTTCGCCCGCAGTGCCCAAATACATGTTGTTTTCAAGTACAGTGAGCGCAACCGTGCACGACGAAAATCCCCACCATATTACCAGGGTGCCCGGCGGAAAATCTGCACTCAGATCTTTGCTTACCCCTCGCCAGACGGTCTGTGGTGGGACGCATGGCAGTTTGACCAGAGCAGTGACCAACAGTTTGAGATACTTGCCATAGGGATGAAGATCCTTGCGATCGGCATTCTTGAGAGTGTGATTGAGCATTGAGTAGAGACTTCGATGCGGTCCTTCCCACTCGATCGTGTAAAGGCGAATCGCAGCACTCTCGTCGATAGTCAGTCCGTCGGGTGGTTGAGCCGGAGTTTCGTCGAGCGCCAGCCGAACGTAGGCGGATAAATCGTGGATGATGCTGTCCAACGGAGCACACGCCTCAGCGAGCGACAGCAAAGGTTCTTCCGCGTATTTGGCAATGGGACCAAAATCGTTTGCTATATTGTTGACAGTGCCCGCGGCTTTTCGCTTTTGTTCCACATCGATAACTTCAACAAGTCGACGATTTTTTGACAGAGAGTCGCCATTTGTGTTATCATCGTCTTCCGCTGCTAGTACCACTTGTTTCTGATCAGTTTCTTCTTCTCCGTTCGAGTTCAGCCCATCAAACTTGTGCGGTGGATCCCTCTGAACTTCGATGTGTTTTCTCACCACTTTTCGTACACCATTCAGCACTCCATCAGCGAGCGTAATTGCGGCCTGCTGGTATTGAGCGCTAACATGTGTTGTCGCCAGTCGTTTCTTCTTTTCGTGACTAGTCACGATCTTCTGCTTTTGCGATGAGTGACGGTTCTTCAAAATCAAAGATCAATTACTTTCAGTGCTAGTAGAGATGAATGATTTTTGACAATTTAGAATTATTGAGGAATTATCGAAGATGTAAGGATGAATGCGAGTGACTCACACTGACGAGCTGACTTGGCAAGTTTCGGAGCATTATCTTACATCCATTCTCTCTTTATAGCCCTCCATATTCCTTGGTTAGAACTCGAAAACAGCATGAGTAGATATTTTGACAATACGATCTAAGTAAAGAAAGCTTAACCAAATCGTAAACACACACCTGCTCATCTACAGGTCGATTGCTAGTAGCTTGGTAATCTAATGCAATAACGTCGTTACCATTTATTTGCTCCACGGCTTCAATGGTCTCGATGTTCGCATTCGCTTTGTGCTTTTCCAATGATTTATCCACGAACATTTTGCTTTCATATATTGCTCTTTCGTATATTCTGTTATATTTCCAATGATGAATAAAGTTTATTCGAAAGCTTAAATAAGTTTATAAATGATGAGTAGTTCAGCTGCAATCATACATGGTTCATGTATATTCTGTTGCTATACACACGCCCGTGCTATGCTTCACTGCTCAAACATGTTAAATACCATGCACAGAGAGAATGTATCCACTAAAAGAAAAGCTTAGAATCTTTTTGATTGTGTCAGTCAAGGGGTGAGTATGTCGCGTTTATTGGCGATGATTGTGTCGAATTGGACAGAAACGGTGACTTCTCTGCCTGTCAAATTCTCTGCAGCAGCTGTTTTAGGACATGGAGATTCCCTAGCGGTATATGCGACTTGACTTTCAAACGTTTGACGTTTGAAGCGAAATTTTTGATGATGGTCATTAAAGCACGATCCACCAAAAGTGGTGAGAAAACAGATTCAGTTTCAGAGTGATCTACTGTATAAGTCTGATGAGCTCACTTCAAACACGAATGGAGAAGAAAAGATTGACCAGAAACAAGTGGCACTAGCAGCGGAAGATGCAGTCAGTGACGGAGCTAGGGGAGTTAGGGTGGGCTCAGCCCCCTCTAGCGACCTTTCAGCCCCCTGGCGAGATTGTAGAAAAATGCATCTTTATACAAAAATGTATTAGTGTTTGCAATTTCACGTTTTAACATATAAATCTAATTTTGTGGAACTCATGTGTCTTTGAATAAAAGAAAATACAGTAATTGTAAATACAAGTTTCAATGAGGTTTTATAGGTTATGAGTAGCTTATTTCAGCTTTGTAGGAGCCTTCTGGGTTAGGGAGTGCTGAGTTTCCCTAGCCCATTGGATGCAGTCGAGTAGCTGTAAAACATTTTGCTAGTGTGTCGACCATCCACATCACGAGATCAGTGCTATGTCAATGCCACTGCAGAAAAACATTTTTTGCACTGTTTTCTACAGGAAAAAGTGAAGACTACTACTACTAACCCAAAGCAGTGGGCAGTAACGGATAGCAGACTCGATTTCAAACATGAAAACAGCTTTCGGCCAATTTTTCGAAAAAAAATGCTGTTTCGTATAACAAGTTCAGCAGGAGACAAAGAACGAAATTCCTTTTGGCGAATTTGAGCAATGTTATGAGAGAAAAAAAATGCGAACAGTATTTCAAGAATTTGACAGTAGAGCTTCACAACGTCAAGAAACTAAAACTGCCCTGTCATTAGAATTATGAAAAGCGAGACAACTGATATAATTCAAATAGATAAAGAAACGTTCACAGCCCGAAGAAGTCCAAGTAAAATTAATTAGAGCGGCAGAGAATCCTCCGAAACTCATTGCAGCTGAGTGGAACTGATGAGGGAAGGTCCCTAAGTGTCCAGTCGCTTTCCGAACGAAAACTAGTGAATACCAGGTAGACCATGCTGATTCCGAATATGACTATGAGAGCTGCCCTTAGGCCTTCGAAGACCGGTTTTCTGAAAAACCGATTTCTTAAGCTAAAGATCTTTTTCCTCAAAAACGTTTTCTGATCTGTCCTGATTCCAGAGCGTGTCAAGCTCTCTGTAGAACACTAACCTTTTTCATTTCAGATCGATTCACGAAGGAAATATAATCATAATTGTGATTTCTCTCGACTTCAAGTCTCTATAATCGTGCTTAAAATCGATCTGAAATGACAAAAATTAGTGTTTGATAGACACATCGACACTCTTTACAATCAGGATAGATCAGGAAACGTTTTTGGCGAAAAAAGGTTTTTAGCTTGAAAAACCAGTTTGTCAGAAACTCCACAAAATAAACAAAACCTTTCTTAACCTTTCTTGCCGTATGGCCGCTATAAGGACCATTTTTATAAAAATTGAACTATGAGACTTTTGGAAACAGATTCTAAATCACCTTATAGTCTGTCTATTGTGGACTTCAAATCAACAATCTGGATCTAATCGGTATTATAATAATAGTTTTTCGCGATAATTTCAAAAAATTCAACCTTTTTAAAGTGAATGTAGCTCAGCTCAGCCAAGAGATGGAGACTCGATTCAAACGTGAGTGGATAGAGAATTAAAAACTGAACAAGCGTAAGCTTTGACAATGTCTCCGTATTATGTGATCTTGGTTTTCATGGATTTTTCTAAGAGGGAAAAAGTCGGAATTCTGCTCGTATTTCTCAGTTTTCTCCAACAGAACTCAACTTCTATGTAATAAAAATTCAAAATCAGGATCAAGAATCGAATCGATTGATATGTATTTCGAAAGTTTCACTTGATTTTTATTTTTTTGGTGAAAATCTCGATGATTTTCAAACGTGAAAATTTGAAAAAATTCAAACTTTCGATTAGGATAGAAATACATATCCGTCGATTCGATTTTTGATCCTGATTTCGTATATGACATTTTTATTATATAGAAGTTGAGTTCGGAGCCAAAGGCAGGAAAGGGTAATGAGTCATGGTTTTAGCCCGCACATTTCTGATTGCAATGTGCGACTCTTTTAAACTTGAAAAACGATGTGTGTACTTTTTCATTTAGGGCCGAAAAGTAATTGGAAAAGTGTCGATCATTATTTCTGGGTTTTTCAGATGCGCAAGAGAGTCAGATTTATTTTTCTTGCAAAGAGCAAAGCCGGAACTTGAAAAACCATCAAAAGGAATCCTTTTAGAACTGAATTTGAGTGAGAAAAAATTTAAATACCAAACATCAGCAGAAAAAATGCTGAAACGTACTTTTTTCTTTAGGTTTTCTACTAGAGCATGAAGAAAAAACTTTCTTAATGAGTTATGATCGTAGCCCGCATATTTCTGATTGAACTGACACATCCATAACATGACCTTTCTTTGCAAAGTTATAAAATTTACAAGAAAAGACCTAAATTCATTTTTTCTTTTTCTTTCTGTAGCTTTGGGCTGACAATGAACATTTAGGGCTTTTCTTGTAAATTTTATAACTTTGCAAAGAAAGATCATGTAGAGGTGGGAGATGTCTCATTTCAATCGTAAATGTGTGGGCTAAAATCATGACTGATTAAGAAAGGTTTTGATTACTTTTTAGACTTTCTGAAAAACTGTTTTTCTAAAATCGGATCTCTAGTGACCTATAAGCAACTGCTATGGTCATATTCAGAATCAGCATAGTCGATAACCTATAATCCACTAGATCTCATTGAAAAAACGATCTGACAGTTAAATCAGTTCCCTCGCAAGATCAATACAGAAATGTGTGAAGAACATGTACTATGAGAAAGAAAAAGACTTTTGCTCTTTCGGTCCTGCTAGTACTCTTTTCTTCCACTTAGCGCTAATTAACGTTAATTTCGTAATGTGTTGAACAACTCAGACTTGCTGCAAGTTCCTGTCAAAGTGAAAACATTGAACTTGTGGAATACTTAGGATATTTAGTGGATTTCGAAAGGTTTTTTATGCAAATCAGAAAATGTGACAAGAGATTATATTGATGACTGCGGCAGAAAACGTGTATGGAAAATCTTTTTCTAAACTACAATATAAAATTAGTACTAAGTGCCATTTTTGTGCCTCACCAGAATGCTATGAGTGATACGAAACTGTCGATATTGCATTGTTGTACATCTGAAACAAACGGACAACTTGAACCATTTAAAATATTTCTGAAAGAGACAATTAGAAAGAAATCTCTCTTAGAAGACAAACATAAAGTTTCAAAATGTGTGCATGTGTGGTAGTGAAGTTGATCGTGGGTATTTATGATACAAGCCAAACGTGCAGCTTGCCTAGCTAACGGTCACTTTTTCGATCTTTTGCAAAAAACTATTGCAATAGAGCTTCGATGCATGCAAAGCAAAAATGCAGTAAAAAAATTATTTTTTTACATACCATACACCATTCGATAGAGAATTTCAAGGCGGTCAAGAATATGCGTGCCTTCAGTTTTCTCAACCCTTATTTCCGGTTGAAAATTTGAAAAAACTCGGAAGGTGTCGAAAACAGCCAATTTGGCAACTTTTCTTAGATTCCTCTTTTTTTAAATATGTTACGAGATGGAATCTTCTAACTTAGTTTTTCTGATAGATCATAGAAAACTGAATAAGAAACTGGTTTTAAACCATTCTTAGAACAAACCACCGGCTCACAAAATAATTATCCAAGACCCATGCTCAAAAACCGAAACTTAATTTTGCAAGTCTATCACAGATTTTTCTAGAGATGCTAGAGCCAATATTTTTACATGGTTAGATTCGTCAGATGCGTAGCTCAAAAGTTACTAAGAGTTTTTTCAAAAATTCCTTTTCCTCGCTGAGAAAAAGCGATTTTACTGAGGACACCTCCAAATGCGCCATGTGATTTTTAGTTATTTTTTTCTGTTCTTCCCCAATATAGTCAAAGTATATTCATATAAGTTAAAATCGATACCCAATCCAACAGACATACTCTCAAGATCTTTAGAGGATTTCTAGAAAACCTTCCAGGCGAGCTTTGGCTGAATAATCTATGCTTTATTTTAAAAATCACTTTTTCGCTATATTCTTCTGAGTCAGCTTTGGATCTACCTACTCCAGGTCTTTGTAATCACTCTCTCTGTGTATTCGTACTATCTCTCACTCTTCAGTACTATCTTCTCCAGGTCTTTGTTATCTCTCTCTCCTGCTTTCATGATCATACACATAATGAAGTGATTTATTGAATAAAACACACACTAAACAACTCGTTAGAAATTAATACTTACATTATTCATCGTTATCTTTTATTATTAACCTTTGTCATAGTTCCACCTACAAAGCATCGTTTACAACTTAGTGGTATGAAGAAAAAAACGTTTATCAACAGGTCATCTGAACAATCAAATCAACAATACCACGTCTGAGGAAGAAAGTGGCATGGAAATCGATGATTTCAAAGAGAAATTTACAATGGATGATATTGCTGATTTATTTGAACTTTGTAAAGCTCAATGTCCATTAAAATACCTCAGCGTATTACTTTATATGTCGTTGAGACGTTTTGGTGTTACTTGGAATGACTGTGATGATTTCATAGATGATACTGAAGCATTAAAAGCTAGGACGGCACACAAATGGTCAGACATATTCGTTTCTGGTGATTTGGACGAATTCCAAGGTGAAAATTGTGGTGGTAAGCGCAACGCCGAATTCTATGATTATTTCCCAGAAATAGAAAATGATGCTAAACAATTTACACTTGAACGGTGTTCTCAGAAGTCTGCCAATTTCACAGCCATTGATTTAGCAAATTTCATCAATGCAAAGTATTACGAAATGACGAACTTAACAAAGAATGCTGACAATGTTTTGATTCGGTCTGTTTCTTCATGTCGTTTGGATTTACGCCGCTGGAGTGCTGGATTCAAAGAGAACTGCCAGTGGCCGTAATTCGAAGGTCATGAACGTTCAGACGTTATCGAACATCGTCAACAATTCATCGACTATTTTCTGGATCGGAAAGATTATTATTATCGAGTTTCTAATGATGATAAACCTGTTTGGACACTGCCAACTC